TCGATAGATCCACTCTCCCACATAATCAACCATAATGGTTTTGCTCGTAGAAAAGAAATGAAGCGTCTCGAGGTTTCGCAATTCACGGAGAGATGACGATAGGGTTTTAAAAGTACACCTTTCGCTCAAAGATACAGAGAGAGACCTGAGCTTGGTCATACGGAGGAGGTCTGTCACACTACTGTGTTGCGTTGAGAAACACCACAAGTGCTCCAGGTTCACTAGATCACCCAATTCCAACTTGGTTTTATCATGCATCTTATGAGGTAGGACAAGGTTCCTCAACTCTAGCATCTCTTTCAAAACATTTGGCACATGAACTGGTTCCTCGGCAGCAACACTTAAGTCTAAATAGAGGAGAAGCTTTAAATTCCGCATAGAAGAAGGTAGATGAGATACCCCAGCATCGTCTAAGCTCAAGAATCTCAAGTGGATGAGCCCTCCGATGCTAGAAGGTAACTTCCCTCCTTTAAATTTCACCTCAGAAAGATCCAACACCCTGAGAAATGGTAAATTTTGGAAGACTGAAGCTGACTGTATCCAAAAGTCTTCCTCGAGTCCCAAAACTATAAGAGATCTGACTTTTTTATTGTTTTTGTGTCCCAGTATATGAAAGGCTTTACCACTACGTATGGTGAGTCTGCGAGATCTACTAGGAGATTGAGCATTGATGCTAGAGGTGGAAGTAGGGACTTTGATAATTTGTAGGAAGTTCTCTTCTTTGGCTTTTGATAAACATACTTCTCTCATCATGTCATGCATTTGACAATATTCAAATCTCCAACTCAAATTGTTTTTTTCAGCAATAACCAAATTTCTCCTCACTAGCTCTTGTAGGTAGTCTTCTCCACTATGTCTGATGGTTGATCCATAACAAATTCCTTCTGCAGCCCAGTAATTGAACAAATTCCACATATATATCTTGTAATCTTCGGGGTAATGGGCTAGATAAAGGAAGCAATGCTTTAAATGCGTTGGCAAATCTTCATAACTCAGAGACAATATTCGGTTAACCGAATTGAGACTGTTGTCATCTAAGCACAATTTTCCTACGATTTGATCTCCGATATTGTCAGAAACTCTTTTCCACTCATGAACTGTATGTTTATTAACTAACAAGCCTCCCAACACTTTAACAGCTAATGGTAGTCCTCCACAATGTGTGACCATTTCCTTTCCTATGGCTTCCATTTCTTCACCAAGCCTTACTTCTGCACAATATCACAAGCTAATACATTTCAAGATGTGAGCTACTAAATAAAATTTATTAGATTATTGGTCTAATTTTACATTTGAACTAGATTAATTAGGACCCTTAATCAATACATTTTTTTTTTTACAAATTTAGTTGATTTTATAATGTTAAATTTTAATTTCAAAGTTAATAACTCATGAGATCGTGACACGTATCAACTTTTTCGATCTGAGATTTTGACATATGTCAAATAAAATTTTCCTTTAAAAAAAAAAAAGTAAAAAGCTAATTATAAGGAAATTGTACATATATTTCCATAAGAGTTTTTTCCATCTAGCAAACAAAAATTTTTTTTTAAAAAAATAATTATAACAAAGTTATAAATTTAAACAGTTTTAAAAATATAAAAAGATTATAATAAGAAACCTATACATATATATAAAGAAATTATATGTATATATCCATAAAAATCGAAATTATAAAATTATGCTAAACGTTTTATTTATAAGTTACTAACTTTACAAGAAAAATATTTAAAATTAGAAAAAAATTAAGAAAATTATACAATCAGTTATTAATCCTATAAGAAAAAGATAGTAAATAGTCACCTTTATATAAACAAATAGATTGTCTCATATTTTTTCATCAAGCAAACTAATTTCTTAACGATGTTATATAATATCAATTATAAAAAAATACTTTCAATCACGATGTTTTTCTAAAAATAGCATGTGATATTCAGATCTAATGAATATATGACAATTGAGGCAAATTAATAATTATGAACGGCGATAGACATAGACTAGAGTTATTGTCGGAGAGGTTTGGTCTAATGTCGGAGGAGATAAAGAAGGTGGAGTAATAAGAGAAGTTGGGGAAAGAGGATAAGAGGCGATAACGGTGGTGTTGGTGTTGATGGTGGTGGTGGTGGTGGCGGTAAATATTGATAAAGGTGGTGAGTCGGAATTAGCAAGATTCGGTATTGATGGTGGTGGTGATTGTGATAGTAGTGAGATTCAGTTGTGGTGGTGGGTCAGAGTAGTGAGACTCGGTAGTAATGCCCGAAGAATACGAGAAATGGAGATAGAGAATAAATAAATAAATAAACTTATGGTGGTGAAGAAATCCGATGAGAGGGAGAAAGAAAGAGGAGTTCGACCAAAAATAAGAAAAATCTAATGAAAGATACAGAGATTTTGAGAATTAGAAAGAAGAAAAAACAAAGAAATTGGTAATATGGGCCTAAAATGATAAAAGCCATGTTGCAAATAGATAATGTTTAGCCTGATGTTGTTTTCTTAATTTTTTTTTAGTCTTAAATTATTTAGTGTATATTTTGTAATTCTTTATAAGATTGTTTTTTTTCTGTTGAGGATATTTCATATTTATCAAGTAAAGTTATATGACATGGATATAGACGGTTTCATATATATATATATATATATTTTTATTGTCACAATTTTATTATGACGTCAATTTTTTTTTTTAATATATATTTACGTAACTCAGACTATATGTTTACGTAACTATATGTTTATGTAACACACTCTTCTGATGGATATAAATAACTTATTAAAATTCAATAATACAACATATGAACATTTATGACTTTATAACTTATAATAAGCAAAAAATTATATAATTTTATAAATAGGCCAACATTTATATTATATGATTTAATAAATAGTATAACATAACTATAAAGAATGTTTTATATTGCAAATTATGCTAATAAATCTATATTTTAGAAATAATTATGCTGCATTTTTTAAAATATATATGTTTATAGAATTTTAGTTAAGCTTACAAAAATAAAAAAAAAAGATATCTAGTTAATCATAAAGAGTAGATATTCGATTTTTCTAAAAAATCGAAAGAAAAAAAAACAATTTTTTAAGATTAGTAATTACTTTTTTGATACATGTCAAAATACGTAAATACGTTTTTTAGTTAGTTTTTCTCATTCGTTAAGGAAAAAAAAGTTGAAATTTGTTTGAAAAATTACCAATATGTATATATAATTATATATATATATATATTTTAATTTTGCTTTTTGGTTAAGGAAAAGAAAAGTTTAAGGAATAGTTTAAATATACACATGATAATTAGTATGTGCAAATATGTTTTTCTTAAAAATTGTTTATCTTATTTAGTTAAGGGAAATAAAGTTAGTGAAACTAAACATTATATAATAAGATATGTACCAGTTTCATCTCTCCTAGAGAATACTATTCTCTCACAAAGCTTCCAACTTTCTTCAGGATTAAGGATTCTTGCTTTAAAAGTAAAACATGTTGGATCAGCATGTATCCCAACACCTTCATTCCGAGAAGTAAGCAGCATCTTCCAACCTGGAATATATTTGTGTTCTCATGTTAAGGAATAAAAATGCATTTATTCTATATATTTCTTTTAACAATCACTTATATGAACTAAAAAGACCAAGTGCTTCATGTATGTACCATAAGAGCTCACCTCTTTGCTGTGGAAACACGGCTTTTATTCGATCCCAGTCTTCTTTTTTCCATACATCGTCGAGGACAACCAAATATCTACCGGTTTCCAACAACTGAAAGAGTTTACGCTGAAGTGCATATTCGTCCATCTGTAAAATTTCACCATCGTGTGGCTGAAGTTCTTGCAAGATCCTCTGCCAAACATCTTTCTGCGTAAACTGTTGCGAAACACAGACCCATGCGAATCCATCAAAATGACGTCGGACTATGTCATGATGAAAAACTTGTCTGGCCAGAGTGCTCTTACCAATACCGCCCATCCCAGATATAGAAACCACTTGAATTTTATCATTCTCCACCAAATGACCAACCAATTCTTCAACACTCTGCTCCACCCCAACAAGATCGTGGTCAGGACTTTTAGCGAACGTTTGTCGGATCTCCCTCTGCTCCCTTTGTCTGTCCTGAAGAGACAGCGAACGACCACCATCAATGATTTGTTGTATCCCTAAACTCTGCATATCCCCAATCACCTCAGAGATCCTCTTAGTGATTCCTTCGATTTCTGAAGCAACTTTGCGGCGATCCGTTAAGAAGCAAGCAAGTCTTCTCACATGCTTCTTGATTCCTTTTTCTTTACCTCTACTTTTGTTCAGAACATAGGATTCAAGTATATCCTCAGCATCATAAACAAGGTCTTTGACATCTTCCAAGAAGTTCCTCACCCTTTCACTTCCATGTTTCTTGGCATCTGCATCTTTCAACAACGACTCTAAACTTCTCAGCTGACGCTTTAGTCCTTCAACTTGCTCATCAATTCCCTGGAATCGCTCAGATTCTCGACTCAGGAGATCCCAAAGCTTCTCAACTCCAAACGACACAAATGCTTCAGCCATAACAACTACTCGTCGACAATCACCTACGATGAACCAATACAAGAACGCCAAAGGAAAAATAGATCTAAAATCAGCTAAAAGTTTAATCCAAGTCAACCTTATGTAGCTACCAATCTATTGACGGAGGGGTTCTCAACAATAATATATATTATGAATTTATAATCTATTGCCACCTCAAATTATTTATTTTGATTAATCAAAGATATTTGATATTGGATTCTCCAGCTCATTCACACTAATTGCTTATTGGATTCTCCAGCTCATTCACACTAATGCTTGAACTCTGCAAACATGTTATATATAGCTTTTTAACACTTTAGAGACTAAATTTTCAAGAGAGGCACACAAAACTTTGCACTGTTGAAACTATTAGAGGATTATAAATTTATAATCAGAAGACATAGCTGTAACCTAGTGTTTGTAAAAATGTAACCAAATTCTCATCAGAATTCCACGAGCATATATATACACAGTAACAAGTATATCTTTGAGAGTAAACACACTAAGACACCTTAACTCATTGTTAAGACGTGCCTAAGTATCCGCAGAAACTGTCTACTATAAAGGAAGCAGGGCAGGACAGCAACAGATACAGATGAATACAAAAGAATCTAAAGGGATTAACGGTCGCAAGAAACCACTGTCACTGTGTATCCTTGATTCAACAGCTTTAGATGCACGGTTATCTTAACTCACTCCAATCATCGTAGTGGTTCTTGACAAGAGCACAAATACAAGAAAAAATGGTAACATAATCGCGTTTATTCTAAAATGGTAACAACATCGCAAGGCTTCTTTGCTTGATACCTTGTTCTATCGTTAAAACAAATTCTCAACAAGAAAAAAGCACTAAACCCTTATAGCTACTACACATTTCAGGTGAAGTAATTTCCCTAAAGTCTCTACTACACATTTCTTGCGACTGCATATTGAGTAACCAAAACCAAAATTGTTGTCTCCCATTTAGTGTGAAAACCAATCTATCTTCACCAAATATGCTTCTGAGTGAGAAATACGATCATTTGACTAAGACATGGAAGTTGGTATAACACATCCGTAAACATTAAAAAACTTGTTACAAGATTTCCTAAATCGATTCAAGTCCATGGTTTGAAATTTGAAGTAAGAGACCGATCTTTTAAGTCAAAAAATTGATGAAAGATTTAGGATTGGAATTTGACACAACACTATTTATCTTGTTTCTCCTCGGTATATCTTCGAGCTTGGATTCTTCAATCCTAGTGATCATTGGTTTATTCAGGATTTGGTACAAGAGTATTCCTAAGAAAACCGAGACTATCCTCTCTACGATTCTAACGGAAAGCTTAAAGATCTCTGATACTAACCTTCTTCCGTGATTAATCTTATAAACATGTCTCCATGCCCCAGTAACACACGGAGAACTCTACTCTCTTTTTTTTTCTATTCTCTGTAATATACAAACTTTATTCACTAATGTTGACGATGCAAGCATGGAATCAAAATTGCGTGCAGAACCAAATGCCACACATATCCTTGTCCTTATAACACAACATGATGTCAAGCAACTGGTCAACAACAATCAACTTCTCTATAAACTTACTCTACTTACATCTTCCTCATTCATTCTTTTTCCTCACCCATGCAGAGCTTTGTGGGTGTTCATATTATGGGCGTATAACATATTTGATCCCTGCTCATAAGCTTTGGGGAGCCATGGAGTGCTGTGTCTGTCTCCTTTATCGCGCCATCATAGATGCTGCTGCTAACATAGCAAACACTGCTGCGAAGTGGCGTTGTGTGAGGGATAGTTCTCTTCATGGACTGTGGCGTAGGAACATCCGAGAATATAGTCACAGCTAAAATGGAACTACATAAGGAAGAGCTGCGATATCCGCAGATTCTATTCTGAAAGCTTGGTTCCAGACCTGCAAGGATTCGCCAGAATCTGGAGGATCCGTTCTCGCCTTTTTTAATTTGATACCCGACTGACCAAGTAGCCATTCTTGGTCATCATCAACCTCCAGCAACAGCTCCCTTGTTGGTACATTGAGTATCTGATTGAGATACTTTAGGTCAGGATGAGGCGGCTTTGCGGATGCTTCACCATTTTCCTTGACTTTCACTTTCATTGTTGCAGCCAAAGGGCTTGGTGGACAGACTTTATGTTTTTCTCCAGAGACAGCAAAACCGTTAATTCTAACTTCTTTGACTTGTGGCTTGCAAGTCATTCCTTGCAACTCAGAAGTAGGCATTGGAGGAGTTCGGGGTGCACCTATTATTCTTCCATTTTCCACAGATGGTACAGAAGCACTCAGCTTCTGTAACTTGTGTGGCGTGGTTCCATTTTCTGCGAAAGAATTAAAGACTAATGTTAGAACAAACAGTTAAGAAACTGCATTGTTAACATTTCCGACCAAAACCAAGAAAAACGGATCTTGCATCATTACTACCACACTACTCAGATACCCATAAATTAAAATATCTTTTAAGGTAAGAAAACATACCATGATTGGATAAAACTATAAGATGCTTCTAAGTACCAAACCATATATCATACGATGGTTAATATGGCAACTACACTCCTCATTCACCAGACAGAGAATTGGATCAGAGAATAACTCACCATACAAGAATCCATTTGTCATATGATCCTTCCGTTTGCCAAGATTTCCCTCGGTAATAAGGTTCTTGACGCTCGCCCGTGAAACCTCAGGCAGTTTGCAATTTCTTATATCCAGAGAGTCCTTTTCTCTTTCTTCTAATTTGGGCCCTCCTATCAATTTTGGTTTCTCCTGACGAGTTTTCTTTATTGACTCTGTTTTTTCCTCTTTCTTCTCTTTATTTCTGTCTTTATCCTTTGCTTCACTCTTCTTTACCCCTTCTTCCCTTGGTTTATCACTCTTGGTCACACTTTCCTTGCAGTGAATCTTCTCAGCTGATTCTGTTTGCCTCATCTGGTCTCTGGTCTCCATTGGTTTACCCATAACCTCAGCTCTTTTCTGATCAGCACCAAATGATACTCGAGAAACTGCATTTTCAGAACTTTTTGCCGCTGTAAAGTTCTTTTGGGTATTGATTCTCTTATTGGCATCTACCCTATGGCTTGTTTCTTCAATTGGGCTGTTCACAAATGCTTTTCCTGTTATTCCTACATTTTTTTGGTTAGGATGATCAATCTTTTGTTCACTCTGACTTCCTGTTGCTTCTTCGTCATATCTGATCCTTCTTGCCAGGTCCTGTACATACTTTGACTCTCCATTACTATTATTCTGCACGGTATCTGTTACAAGATTCTCTCTGTGCCCGATGTTTGTCAGCACCTCGGCTTTCTTCTCCTCCAAAGGTTTGCTTTTTTCTTTATCTTTCTCCTTTTCTTTCCGATCTTTATGTTTGTCTTTTTTCTCCTTTCTTTCCTTCTGTTTGTCTTTGCTTCTATCTTTACTCTTTTTCTCTTTACCCTCTTTCTTTTCTTTATCCTTCTTATGCTTCTTTTCCTTGTACTTGTCCTGAAATTTACATCCCATGAAGAAAAACATATACACATATAAGGAAAGATCACAAAATATAAACATATAAGGCAGCTGCATATAGTTCCACCTAAAACAGACTAGTCTATACATGGCGGAAGTATCAAGATAGCATACAAAGCAATTCAGCACAAAATTTTCTTTGTCCACAAGGGAATTACACTTGAAGCAAGAACGAAAGTCTCTAAATCCCTCAATAATTAGCAGACAAGATTTACTTCTTTTTTTTTTTTTTTTTTTTTTTTTCCAAAGCAGACAAGATTTACATGCTCTGGTAGATAGGACTTTGAAAACCAATATGAGCATATATAAGGTTGCGGGGCAAAAACAGTGAAAAAAATGGATATGCATTGTTGGCTGGTTTTCTCCAATTCAAGGAAATTATCGTCTAGTAGGTAACTAGTCTGACCGGCCTGCCATAAGCTACTACCAGTAAGTTCAAGTTCCATAACTAATTCCTAAGCTCCTTGCCACTCTCTCTGAATACCATTTACTGCAGTGTCTTAATATGGCTATGAAGTCACCATCAGGATAAATCTAACCCCTTCCCCTGTTTCCACCTACGTATATAGGAAGGACTATATCAATGCAAAAAATATCACCCTCACTATCTCCCGGTCCTCAAATAGTCTAATCCCAAATGGGTTGTGAGATACTACTATGGTCTTCAGGCCAAATAAACAAATCCTTGTGAAAATAATGAATGAGATAAATAATTCTAACATCTAAGATTCTGAAACAAACTACATGAACAGCCCTTCACTTGACAGCTTGCACCTCATCATTTAAAGTCAATGTAGTATCCACAAGCCCTATATGTGTGCTATATATAGTAGGAAACAAAGGAACATTCTCGCAGAATCAAGAAATGAAAGATACTATTCTATAGATGATAAAAGATACATCTCCGATGATCCCTCTCACATATCAGTATCAATCTTTCAGCATCAGCGATGCTCTTGTAAGAGATAGTCAAATCCTTACTATTAACTATAGTGTACGTGAGAAAACTCAAGGTTTAACCACCTAGCAATGACGTTTCCAGAATAACAAGAAACTAATTCTGCAGTCTAAAATTCTCCTACTCAACAGGGTTTACCAAGTATGTCTATATGTCCTAGAAAACGCAAAAGATTCCACAATACAAAGAGTTCCGTGGACCCATTATACTCCAGTCTCATGTATCCTTGAGTTTCCTCCAAATTTTGTTCTAAATTCTAAAAACACCAGAATGATCATGATTCAAAGTAGAGTAAGTTGTAAGAGTTGACATATGAACCTTTATAAGAGAGTCTGCTTCTTCAGTTCTAATCTTCTTCTCATATCCAGGTGGAGGAAATGGGAAGCAGCGAGACATGGCACTAGTCCGTGGGAACTGTAAAGTGGTATACTTTAACCAGACTCCCTACTTTTTGGCTTCTTTATCCCAACACTTGACCAGATCAGTATCTATGATCCAGTATACCATTCCACATGTATCCCAACACCTTCATTCCGAGAAGTAAGCAGCATCTTCGAACCTAGAAAATATTTATGTTCTCATGTTAAGGAATAAAAATGCATTTATTCTATATATTTCTTTTAACAATCACTTATATGAATTAAAAAGACTAAGTGCTTCATATATGTACCATAAGAGCTCACCTCCAAACCAAATCACCAGAAACCGAGATCAGAACCAGTTTCCACAACTCACATTAACAAGGTTCGAAGTTATGAGCATCTCAAAAGCACCTTATTAGCTTAATCAATCAAAATCTCAACTCCGTGGGAGAAACCCAATTGGACAATTGGGGACTCGCGCATCAATCAATCCTCACACTCCAAAGGTTTGAGCTTCAAAACCACAATTAGGGTCGATTCCAAGTACGATCCAATCAAAACCCTAAAAAAACCAAATTGACAAAAAAAAAAAACAAAATGTCAAGTGAAATCATCTAACTTCTCAAACGAAACGTAAAGTCGAAGCTATGCACCAATTCTCTCCATGTGGGTTTGAAGTAAACAAAACCAAAATTATCAGAAAACCCAAAAAAAATTCAAGCTTTATAGTATCTGGGTGGATCCAATGTCAAAACTTTCGAACAAAATTCACTCAAAAATCTAAACTTTTTAGTAAAGAAATCAAACGATGTTGCTACAAAACAGCTTTGGTTTTACGAAAAATCAAAAACTTGCGATTTCGAAGATCTCACAGTGAGAGATACCAATCTCTTTCTCTCTCACCCATCTCTCTTCCAATCTATATGTGTTGGCATATGTATGTATATATATATACCTTTTCTTTGTGTGTATATATGTAAATGTTCTTCTAGGAAGGTTTTATTTTTGAAAAAAAAAAAAAAGAACTTTTACGGGTTAATTTTTGATGGGTTGGCTCTTGATGTGGGAAGAAGAAGAATCTCTCTCTCTCTTGTTTCTCTCCCTAAAACTCCCCAGCGAAGAAAAGAGAAACTTTGGAAAGCGAATGGTATATTGGTATTTATAGACGAAGAGACAGAACAAGGACACGTGTCATTCTTATACTTATTTTGACATTCTCTTAAAAGTAATTATTGGGCTTTTTTGGACTATTTTCTTAAATTGGGCTTGGCCCGATATTGACTCTCTTTGATTTCAAGTCTTCTGATTTTGTTACAAATTTATCAATGTACAGAATTCACTTAAAACTTGTAACAGTGATATCATTTTCACTTCCTCTTGATTCTATGAAAATCTCCATCTATTGAAGTAATAGAAGGTCAAAGATCTCGTTGTGAATCTTCATAGACATATGTGAGATCGAATTGGAAATTTTTTCGAATCGATCACAAGGTTAGCTTTGGCCAGTAAAACCTTCAAATTTTTTTTATAAAGATACTTTAGAACATGTTTTGGCTTGATTTATATGCAATTGTTGTTGATCGAAGATTATAGATGCAAATCAATACCCATAAACAAATACGTTCACTTTATAGAATAAGTAACAAATAGAAAAACAATTGTTACAGAACTGAAACGTACTTTACAATCTCTTCTTTTCTTGATAAGAACAACGTATAGATTGATAGAGGCTTGCAATTGGCAATCTCCTAAGACAGAATTTAGCCCCTACTGTGGTGTACGTAGCTTTGTGTAGGCTTCTATCTTTAGGATACAACTATCGATCTCTGTTTTAACACCGTACAGAGACCCTAGCAAACTCTACTTTGAGATTCTCTGAAATTGATTTGGAGAAGAAGAAGATGAGAATCAATCCCAATCTTTCTCTCCTTTGTTTCTCTTGTATTGTTCTTCTCTCTTGTCTCTCTGTCTTCGTCTCTCTACATCGTTACGTCTCTTATATATTAATGAAGCAATGTTTGAACCAAGAGATGCTTCTCTTCTCTCAACCGGTGTATCGGTATAAACGTAACCAAGAGACGTGATGAAATTTGCACAAGTAGAAGGGTATTTACATAAATACAAATGTTTATGTAAATAAACATGTTTATATAAAATAAACACCAACAATACTCCACATTTTCTTATTCAAACATATAAATACCCCACATTTGAATAGAAAATAAGCTCCACAATATCTGAGAAAATAGAATCATTATGCATCGGTTAAGGTGTCTTTTAGACTTGAACCTTTCCTAGTAAACACTTATTGGATTTACTTTGTAGGTAGTGAACTCTTGTCTTGAACTAACCACTTTTGATAGTAAACCGAGACAATAAGTGAAACACATAAATTATCAGCTCATTTCATGTTTATACGGTTGTGTTCATTTTGGTCCTGAACATATCCCGGCTTCGTGAGAGCTCTAGAGAATTTAGCCATCTCAATTCTCATAGGTGCGACCGCGACACCACTCTCATATAGGTAACATTAATTAAGAATAGTCCATTCTATTCCACTAAAAAAAAAATATTAATGTTATTAAGAAAAATATTCATCCCTTTAAACATCAATGGAAATACATTTAACTTCATAGGAATAAGTAATATGTATATCTTTCTTGAGTCTTCCTCAGCCAGTTTGCCTCTTGAACCTAAACCATGGGATCTCCAATGTTGCTAGGTAAGGTTTCCACCAAGTGATGACTCATTGTGTTGGCTTTAAACCCATTCCCCTCGAAGTGAATACGACTTGCTTTTTCGGTAGGCCTTTAGTCAAAGGATCAGCCAAGTTATCCTTTGTTCTAATATGATCCAATGCTATCACTCCATTGGAAAGCAATTGTCGTATTGTAGCATGTCTCCTTCGAATGTGCCTTGACTTGCCATTGAAAATTTTATTTTTCGCTATATTTAAGGCAGCCATATTATCACAATGGATACATAGTGCAGTTACCGGCTTTGGCCATAATGGAATATCTTCAATAAAATTCCTTAGCCATTCGGCTTCTTCTGCAGCACTATCTAGTGCGATAAATTCTGATTCCATTGTAGAACGTGCAATACACGTTTGTTTAGATGATCTCCAAGACACAGCTCCACCACCAAGTGTAAACACATAACCACTTGTGGATTTACTATCCGTACTTCCAGAAATCCAATTTGCATCACTATATCCTTCTATTACATGAGGAAATTTAGTGTAATATAGACCATAATTAATTGTATGCTTTAAGTATCTCAATACTCTAACCAAAGCATTCCAATGTTCTCTATTTGGATTACTTGAATATCGACTTAATCGACTTATTGAGTAAGCCAAATCTGGTCTTGTACAATTTGTAATGTACATGATGCTTCCAAGAATTTGTGTGTATTCCAACTGAGACACACTTTCACCTTCATTCTTGGAAAGCTTGCACGTTGGATCAAACGGAGTAACTACCGGTCTATCATCAAAGTGACCAAACTTCTTTAGAACTTTCTCCACATAATGAGATTGAGTAAGTGAATACCCATTTGGCTCTCTTTTAATTCTAATTCCAAGAATTACATCAGCCAATCCCATGTCTTTCATTTCAAAATTGTCACTCAACATCTTCTTTGTGGCATTGATAATGTCTTTACTTGTTCCCATTATTAACATATCATCCACATAAAGACATACAATGATCATATCCTTTTTAGTTTCCTTAACGTAGACACACTTGTCACATTCATTTATTTTAAAACCATACGATCTCATTGTATTATCAAACTTCTCATGCCACTGTTTTGGCGCTTGCTTAAGTCCATACAAAGACTTTTTAAGCTTACAAACTTTATTCTCTTTCCCTTCGACTATAAATCCTTCGGGTTGTTCCATATATATTTCTTCATCAAGTTCACCATTTAGGAATGCTGTTTTAACATCCATTTGATGAATTTCTAGATCATATATGGCCGAAATTGCGATTAGATATCTAATCGAAGTGATTCTAGTCACCGGAGAATACGTATCAAAGAAATCAAGACCTTCTTTTTGACGAAACCCTTTCGCCACTAGTCTTGCTTTATATTTTTCAATCGTACCATCCGGTCTCAACTTCTTTGTGAAGATCCATTTATGTCCAATTAGTTTATTACCAGGTGGTAAATCAACCAATTCCCATGTATGATTTCTCAAAATGGATTCAACTTCACTTTGAATCGCCTCTTTCCAATAAGGTGCATCCGATGATTCAATTGCAGCCTTGTACGTTTGAGGTTCGTATTCACTCAAGTACGTCATAAAGTCCGTGCCAAAATCTTTAGCAACTCTTGCTCTTTTACTTCTTCTTGGTTCATTTTCTTCTTCTTGAACCTTTGAGGCACATTCATTGTCCTCACGTACCCGTTTAGTACTTGTTTCTCTAGGCTCTTTGTATGGAAACACACTTTCAAAAAACTCAGCCTCATTAGATTCAATGATCGTATTTACCTTTACCTCAACATTATTAGATTTATGTACTAAAAATCTATAAGCTGCACTATTTTCCGCAGGACCGATGTAAACGCAATCCACCGTTTTTGGTCCTATAATAGTTCTTTTTGGTAAAGGTATTTGAACCTTTGCAAGACAACCCCAAAGGTATTTGAACCTTTGCAAGACAACCCCACACTTTCATATTTTTATATGAAGGAGTCTTCTCTTTCCACATCTCATATGGAGTTTTATCACTCTTCTTGTGAGGAATCTTATTCAAAATTGAATTAGCCGTGAGAATGGCTTCACCCCATAGATTAGGTGGTGCACCCGAATCGTTTAACATGGAATTCATCATCTCTTTAAGCGTTCTATTTTTCCTTTCGGCAACTCCGTTCTGCATCGGAGTGTAAGGTGCCGTAGTTTGATGAATGATTCCATGTGTGGAACAAAAATCTGAGAATTCATTTGATTTGTATTCTCCACCACGATCTGATCGGAGAATTTTTATTCTCTTATCTAATTGATTTTCAACTTCTGCTTTGAATTTCTTAAACATATTCAAAGCCTCATCTTTAGTATTAATCAAATAGATTTGACAATACTTGCTGAAATCATCAATAAAAGATATATAATAATTTTTTCCTCCACGGCTTGGAATTGATTGAAAATCACACAAGTCACTATGTATTAAACCAAGTAATACATTTGACTTTTCCACAGATTTATAAGAATGTCGTGAATATTTTGATTCCACACAAACTTCACATTTACTTCTTTTATTATTATTAAGATTGTTCTTTGGTAACAATCCTAAATTCATCATTCGATATAAAGAATGATAATTGACATGTCCCATTCTTGCATGCCATAAATCATTTGAGTCAAGCAAATAAACAGAAGCAGTGCTATTGCCTGCGTTTTCATTAATGATCGGTACAACATTCAGTTTGAAAAGACCATCACACAAGTAGCCTTTTCCTACATACATCCCACCTTTAGTGAGTACAACCTTATCAGATTCAAATACAATCTTAAAGCCTTTGTTGCTAAGAAGTGACCCCGAAATCAGATTCTTTCGAATCTCAGGGACATGGAGTACGTTTGTGAGTGCAAGTTCCTTCCCAGATGTGAGTTTTAAAACCACTTTGCCTTTCCCTGCGATCGTCGCGGTGCTCGCGTTTCCCATGTAAAGCTTTTCTCCACCAGAACCTTGTTCATACGTGGAGAACATACTCACGTCGGAGCACACATCCTTTGTAGCACCAGTGTCAACCCACCAATCATTGGAGTTTGTCATCATGTTTGCCTCGGAAACGACCGCAACAAATTGATTTTCACCAAGGTTTGCGTTTGCTTTGCGTCTCCGAACCGATTTCCTTCTTTCTTATGGCGGGAGTCCTTGGCTCTATGTCCACGGTTTCCACACACCCAACAAGG